ACCTCCACCGCCGCCACTGAAGCCCCCACTCCCGGCACCACCCCCACCTCCACCGCCACCCCCTCCGCCTCCTCCACCGCCTCCGCCGCCGCCCCCGCCGCCCCCTCCACCACCCTTGCTCCCCTTGCCCTTGCTGTTGCGGCGTCTCCCACTAGGGGCAGACGCAGCTCCGACCTCCTCAGTGCCAACGAGGTCAACAGCAGCAGGAGAAGCAACAGAGGGGAGAAGGGGGACAGGGGAACACCCCTCAAAGAAAGGGGTGCGACAGTCGTCGCGAGAAGCACCTACAGCTAAGATACTCTTCTCAACTGCAGCAAGGCGCTCCTCTAGCAGGTCGACAGTCAGCTCGGTGGGGCAAAGGGAGAGAAAGTGGTCCCTGACTGAAGAAAGGGAGTCAGGGAGGCGGGTGACTAGGTAGTAAAGGGTGATGTACATGGGGGGGGGTTCTTGGCACAGAACTCAGTGGGAAGGGCAGCGCGGTAGCGGGCGTCACTAGTGCGAAGGTGAGCAACTAGGTCAGCAACTGTTGTAAAGGCGGCAAGGTCAGGGAAAAGGTACGGCAGCATGAGGCGGCTGAGGGCAGCAGTGGCAGGGGAGGAGTAGCGTGCAACTATAGCGTCTTGTACTGGCCAAAGTGTGCGCGCTCAGCAGGCGGCAGGTGACTACGAACAGCAAGACGAGCAACAGCGTCACGAGTGGTCCACTGCGAGCGAACAGTACTGTCAGCAGTGGCAGCAGGAGCAGTGGAAACACCGGACGTGTGATCGAAAAGGGATACCCCATCCCTAGAATCACACTGAAGAAAGAGCTGGAGGTCGTCAACCCACACGTCAAAGTCAACTGCACGTCCCTCAGCATCAAAGGTGAGAACGGTAGGACTAGCCATAGTAGCAGTAGCAACAGTAGCAGCAGTAGAAGCAGTAGTAGCAGAAGAAGCAGTAGCAGCAGAAGAAGCAGTAGCAGCAGTGCTGCTCGGTAGGGCAGTGCGGCTCGGTGGGGGGCAGCGCGGCTCGGCTGAGCGGCGCGGCTCGGCTGGGCGGTGCGGCTCGGCTGGGCGGCGCGGCTCGGCTGGGCGGTGCGGCTCGGCTGGGCTGCGCGGCTCGGCTTACTGGGACGGGTGCAGGGGCGGGCCGTTACTGCAGGAGCCGGCGGGGGCGCGCCAGTAGGGGCCGGCAGGGGCGCGTCAGCAGGGGCCGGTAGGGGCGCGCCAACAGGGGCGCGTCAGCAGGGGCCGGAAGAGGCGCGCCAGGAGGGGCCGCGCCAGTAGTGACCGGTAGGGGCCCGCTAGCAGGGGCTCGCCAGAAGGGGCCGGAAGGGGCCGCAAAGAGCCGCTGAAGGGCCGTGACGGGGCCGCGAAGAGCCGTGAAGGGCCGCGAAGGGCTGCGAGGGGTCGCGAAGGGCCGCGAGGGGCCGCGAAGGGCCGCGAAAGGGGCCGCGAAGGGCCTCGAAAGGGGCCGCGAAGGGCCGCTAAAGGGGCCGCAAAGGGCCGCGAAAGGGCCGCGAAGGGCCACGAAGGGGCCTCTAAGGGCCGCGAAGGGGCCGCTACGGGCCGCGAAGGGCAGGCGCACAGGGCGCAGATAGGACAGACGCGACGCGCGCTTCGGGCAGGTAAGGAAAAAAAAAATCTTAGTGGTGGGCCCTAAAAAAAACAGTTCCACTAGGGAACCTGCTCTTTACCATGTGAGAATAACGAGAGGAATGAATGAACTAGGAATGAGATGGGTACAAGTAGGAAACACAAAAGTGTTGTACCCTCTAAGGACTACCCCACTACAGCCTAAACAGACTATAGCATGTATAAGTTTGACAGGGTAGTCGTCACACAACCATGAATCCGTCAGGCTAACTAAAAATCCAATAAGGGGAAAAAAACACCAACACTTTTTGGGTAAGGGTAAGAATCTACGAAGCCTGATTTAGAAAGGGTAACTCTGAAAAAGCAGCCCGCCCCCAGGGTAATCAGGGCATTTTACCCTGATATTTTGGGCCCAGGCTTGAATGTCATTCTGTAAAACCATCTCTCAAATGCATTGCTAGCTACTTCTCTCAGACGCCATGACATGTTTTCAGATTGGGTAGTGTACATTAACTTCTGTAACAGTATACTCTCTCGCACGGCATGAGGTCATGTGGCAGTGGCAGGTTGATTAGCAGCTGTGCTACGAAACATCAAAATCCCCAGACATGAAGGTGCGTCAATCAGGTGTGTGGGCAGTGGAATCTCTGGCAACACAGTACCAGCCAGTACTACTCATTGAACCTGCACAACTCAAGAAGAGGAGTGAACAATGGAGGGGAGAGATGGAGCAGAGGAAGAAAGCGTGTTCAAAGACATGCATCAAATGGTGGAAGCCAGCCAAAACAGATGTTCGGCCTTTGGTCCCCACCTATAGCAACACACAAGACAGACGCGTGAGATTCACAGCAAGAAACATGAGCTTCGCATCTCTTACTCTGTGATGAAGTGAGCCTTCCTTAAAACAATCATGAAAAATAGAAGGGTGCTTCTCTCATCGACCTACCCACGCCTCTACTCACCATAATGTGAACCTTTCTTTCACCTCGGCTACTGCCTTTACCAGTGCCTGTCTCACTCACTGTCCCTCTCGACTTGCCTCTGGTGCTGCCACCACTCGTATTGCTCATTCTGCTAGGGAAGAACGACTCAACTATTAACGTACCTCTACCTTTTTAACACCATTCAACAAATAATATTTTCAACTTTGCTCGTTACTATTTCTACGCAATGACATTTTTTGTCCTGCCACTCACCTTGCCACTGCTGCTGCCACAACCCCGGCTGCTGGTCCTGCCAGGGCATGTGACCTTGTGAGAGGGCCAGTGCGTCTTTTGGCACTCTCTGCTGCAATATGCCACCTTGCCACACCCACCACAACTCTTCAGCTTCACACCACCACCCTCTACCCTCCCACACCCCCCAGCACTGCATGCACGCCCCGCACAAGTAACAGGACCAGTGCCTTGAATCTGACCCTTTTTCCTTCCTCCACCACTCCTTGTGTCTCTCTTCGCCTTTGGTGCTTCATCCTTGCCGCCGCTGTTGTCTTCGATATGGTCCCACTTGCTGTAGTCTTGCTGATTTTCTATCCGATGCCGCACCAAGTCTATTACCAGCCAAAGCGGTACGAGGTGGTACGGGTAGTACATGACAAAGTGCAGGAGTGGCGATAGCACGAAGAATGCAAAAAGAATTGCCACAAGAGGAACAGCAACAGGATGAGGAAGAACTTTTATGATTGAACCGGGTTTCAGCTTTGCTTGCTCCACAATGCGGTCCGGAGAGAGGTACAGCCAATGACCAGGGACCATGAACCGAACCTCCTGCTTCCGAAGCTCCGAATTTCTTGCTTCTGCGTTCAACCCGGCTCGTGCTCCCTGATGCTGACGTGGATCGGATGACAGGCAGCAGTTGGAGAGATGGGACTGCACGAATCTGTGAAAGACTGATCCGAGAAACTCGTTCGGAGAAACAGAGAGGTGAACGTCGACGAAGCTGTCGGCGACATTACCACTGCTGGTGCACGAGTTCGCCGACTCTTCGCTTCCAGCCTCGCATGATTCGGTTTGAATTAGATCCGCAGGGACCCAGAATCGGTTGTTAAAAGCCATGGAAGTATGCTCAAGCGCAAAAACAATAGAGACACGATGCTTGTGGTACGGTTTGCTACACGGATGACGACTTCAGGAATAGATGAATCCTTTATGAGGAGGCTCAAATGTTTGTTGTAGGGTTACTGCACTAATGACGACTTCAGGAATTAGGAAAGAATGCACCCTTTCCACGAACGTCAGTTTTGCCAGCAGAATGACATGCCTCAAGCAGTCAGCTACGAATCGGATCTTGCGTATCGCTAACCTCTACCCAGTAACTACAAGGTGCTTCGTGTGCGACACCAGCCTACCCATAAGGAAGGTATTTACGTCGATGGTGACCGGATTAACGAGAGCAGCCCAGGCCTAAACATGTTCAATAAGCAATCGACTTTTCTTCGTGAAAACCTAAAAAATATTAACATGCAAGTGCGTTAGCGCATCGCTCCCTAGACGACCCGCAAGCTAAGTAAACGTGTCTTTCCAATGAAGCCATTGCAACTCGTAAATCCTAGGCGGCCAGCCACTCAGAAAGGAGTGGCAACATCATCGCAATTCTAGCCGTAAATTGTTCGAGATATTGTTGACCTCGATCGTACGTCAAGAAATGTCACTTGCCCGATTTCGTAATTCTGGACGGACGACTTCTGTCGCATGCCTCCAACTGATGTCGGCAGTCACGAGGACGGCCTGTTTCGGATTGCGTTTCACTCCTTGACCTTTACTTTCGGGGCCGTTTGCTCCCAACCGCGTGGTTCGGTTCGTTTTCGATTGCAGATTGGACATTTGCTGCAAGGAAATTGCGCACTAGAGTTTTGGCTGGTGGTTGTCGCATGAGAATACTCTGGAGCGTTTGTGACTCATGCATTATAAGTACTCATTCATTATTGTGATGCATGTGACCTATTACCAACTCAGTACAAACTCTACGTACCTAAGGGCCTTGGGTAACGCTTATTGCACGGGCACACTGCTGCCTGCCAGCTCTGTGCACAACAAGAAATTCACATGATAAAGGCTGTAATGCAAATTCTCGACAGCAATGACTGCTGATTTATTGATGCATGTATAGTGGACACGACAGGTGGGAATCTTGGTCGCGAGTGAAGCGCTCAGAAGCAAGGACAGGGTACAAGTTAGAAGTGAATTGCTGTCACTAAACCTGCGGACCCAGAAGAGAAAGGGGACAGCAGGGGAGGGAAGGAGCAGATGAAACAGGTAAAAGTCAAAATGCCAGTAGAGCCATTTGTCCCTAGCTGGAATTCTAAAAGACAATTGCTTCATGCAACAGTGACGGAAGTATTCACTCCTCTCGACACCACTCCACTCCACTCCACCAGTTAACAAGGGGAAAAGGGATAAGGCAACTATACCATCAGCTTACCTATTCAGTCAATCCCCTTCCCACCCACCTTCCCACTCACCTTCCCACTCACCTTCCCATTCACCTTCCCATTCACCTTCCCATTTACCTTCCCAATCACCTTCCCACTCACCTTCCCACTCACCTTCCCACTCACCTTCCCACTCACCTTCCAACTCACCTTCTCCTTCACCTTCCCATTCACCTTCCCATTCACCTTCCCACTCACCTTCCCACTCACCTTCCCACTCACCTTCCCACCCCCCTTGCCACTCACACTGCTGCCACCTTGTGCCACCCACCTTTCCATTCTCGCCTTGCCACTCACCACTCCACTCACCTTGCCCCTCGACTTGCCACTGCTGCTGCCACCACCCCTGCCGCTGGTCCTGCCGGGGCATGTGAGCTTGTGGGAGGGCCAGTCCGCCTTTTTGCACTCTCTGCTGGAATACGCCACCTTGCCACACCCACCGCAGCTCCTCAACTTCACACCACCACCACCCCCCACCGTCCCACACCCTACAGCACCGCACACACGCTCTCCACCAGCAGCAAGACCAGGGTCTCTTGTAACCGAAACGGGTGCACTTGCATGCTTTGGTGCAGCACTGATGGGTGAGGCAGTGTGGGTGGAAGGGGCAGCAGGGGGAGCACGGCTAGACCAGACAGCACGGGTGGAAGAGACAGCAGGGGTGGAAGGGGAAGCATGGGTGGAAGGGGAAGCACGGGTGGACGAGGAAGCACAGCTGGAAGGTGCAGAAGGGGTGGAAGGGGCAGCATGGGAAGAAGGGGCAGCATGGGAAGAAGGGGCAGCAGGGTTGGAAGGAGAAGAATGGGAGGGAGGGGCAGCAGCAGGGGAGGCAGGGCGATAGCACGGCTCCCCCAGCAGCATCTCTCACAGACATGCCACCAGATTGGTCCCCCCTGGCCATGGCTTCAGATATGCCGGCACCTCCTTTTTCTCTCCTTTCTTCTCACTGCTGCTACTGCTGCTGCTGTTATTTTTGCTGCTGCTGCTCTTGCTTGTGCTACCACATCCACTAGCAGACCCACTTTGGCAGTCTTCGCGATACTTTGGCCTGGTGCCCTTATACACGCCGCTGTGACCCAACACAAAAAAAACTGTGACTGTGACCCAGCCAAGTATACAATGCCGCACTGCACCACAGAAAAACCTCATCCCACATCTCCCCACCGTCCCCACAATCCTCTTCACTAACTCTGCCATCCCTACCACCCAAACTTCCCAAAATCCCTCCTTCCCCCCTCCCTTTCGCACCAACGCCTCTCCCAACAGGCCTTCGAACCTTAACCTCCTCATGCTTGCCAAGAAGAATCATAGGCTGAGACCAACTTATTGCAATGCTGAGCAGCAGAAGGACCAGTTGGTTCTCTGCCTGTTCCCGCACCAGCTGCACGCACTCGGCTTCAGCCACTCGAGTCCACCCAACAGTCAAGGCCTCCATTCCCAAACTGCACAAGAGATCGTTGAAATCTTGGGAGTCGGGAGGGAAGACGGAGAGGAAGCGATTGAGGAGGACAGTGGCTGGTTGGTAGGCGAAGCTGGCCAGGAAAGTGATGACGGGGATGTGGGAGGAGTACAGGTCGACACATCTGTTGCACTCGGTGCATGCCGGCGGGGTGGCCAAGTCAGTAGCAAACTCAAGAATGTAATCCACATTTGCCATGCAGCGAACAATGGGACGACGGCTCGTGATAGGGAAAGGTAACCGAGAGAGAGTAGGATTCCCTCTCACGTGCGCTTTATTCCTTTGATCTCTCCCTTTACTTCCCGTCTTGAAGGATTGGTCGAATGGTACTTGCTTGTCCTCCTCTGCTGTCTCACTCTCCTCCACAATGCCTAGGCCAAAGCATCTCGCATTGCGGTCATCAGGAAACTTTGCAGCAGCTTCATTGCCCCGAGGCCACTCCCCCCACTCTAGGGGAAAGCTTTTTCCATCAAGAGGCTTCGGGATGGCGCCAAACCTGAGAAGCAGGCTCGGAAGGTCCGGAAGTGCCGCATGGGCCGGACCTTGCCCTGTGGGCTGTCCTTGAAGCATTTCTTCTCAGAGATGAAAACTGAGCCGTAGACTCGGGCCCACTGCAAGATGCAAGCAACTCGGTATGTAAAAACAGCTACATCCAGGTTGGTATTCACTGGTACAAGTTCAGCGCTTGTGAGAGTAACCCCGCTAATATCCAATGCAGCACTGCTGCCAAGAGAACTGATCTCAAAACCGAGCAACTGCTAGCCCTGGCACTGGCTGCGTGAGGATGCAGTGGTGGTGCCGATGGCACTGAAGTAGCTAACGCTAGTGCTTCCACTCCTCCACCTGCTCCTCCTCCTCCTCCTCCTCCTCCTCCTCCTCCTCCTCCTCCTCCTCCTCCTCCTCCTCCCTCACTCATCTCCCTTGTCGACCCCACACCTCCCAATCTCTACCTGGCCTCCTTAATTGCTGCACCCTCCAAGCGTAACTTGTTCGTGTTGCTGGCATCTTGGCAGAACATGGCTCCAGCATGGCAGTACTCTGGCTTGGAGAGCACTGCTGCAAGAGCAAGGGCGAAGTCAGTGGCACCCACACCACTCACGTACATGCCCTTGGGAATATCCCTGCCTTCCAGAGCACTGGTAATACTGCTGTGGTCGTTGCTGCTGCCACTGCAGTTGATTCTCTCACTACGGCTTCCGCTGTTGCTCTTGCTGCTGTCACTGCTGCTGTTGTTGCTGCTGCCACCACTGCTACTATCCACTTCGCTACAGTGGCTGCATCGGAACTCCCTCCCTTCTCCCCCTTCGTGCTCCAGAATCCAAGCCATGCCATCCACATACCTCTCCCACACAGGCCCTTTCAAATGCTCTCTCCACTTCTCACCCTTCTCGTCCTTGTCCTCACCCTTCCTCCCTGCTCCCCCATTCACCTTTTCCTGCACATCCGTTTTCTCAGCAGCCTTCTCCCTAACGCCCCCCTTCCCCTCTGCGTGCACCTTCTCAAGGCCACCTGATTGAAGATTTTGCACAAAGAACCCAAACCCTTACTGCATATCAGCACTCTCCTTCACCCCGAGCACTTGCACCAGCATGGACGCAACACAGTCATTCTCCACCTGCCTACGCGCCCCCAGCTCTGTCAATATGGCCGGGTAGGCCACAGACTGTGATTTGTTGTGAGTCTTCCAGAAATTCATCAAGCGGGAATATGAGGCCACAAGCGCGAGGAAGGCAACGAAGCTGACAGCACGGCGGTAGGCAGCCCAACAGCTGCTGCAGTGCCAGCAGCAAGACCACGGTGCGACGACTTCAGAAGGTGCAGGAGAAGCAGCAATGGCAGCGGGAGCAGCAGCAGCAGGGACAGCTGTAGCAGCGTCTGTAGTAGCCAGGATGGCAGTTAGGCGGGTTCTAATCCTCCCCAGGTCCATAAGCACGCCCACTCGAGGCTCAGACAGCCCGTCCGCAACCATGGCTTCTGCACACAGAAACGGCGCCATCTCACACTTGCAACAGAACTGAGTGTGAGGCTCTTTCTTCCCCTCCACCCGAAACGCTGGCACCCTTGAGGAGAACTCCAGGGCAGCCTGCTGACTCTGCTGCTTGTTTTAAAGGACTCTCCTCTAATTTGAAGGAACTGGGATTTATACTAATCACTAGAGCTCTGTCTTAGCTTTCCAACGAGCCGTCAATTGCGTCGATCGCCTAAGTATCGAGCGAGTTATGGCCTCTAACGTGAAAGCTATGCTCTAGGTTGAAGGATAGGATGCTTTCTGGAATTTGTGTCGAGTTGAACCGTGTATAGGAAACTCTGATTTTTAGTATGAAACATGCATACAAAGCGCACACATTTATAGCTACTCAATTCGTCGAATCGCACAAGTAACATCGAGTTGCTACATGAAGTGTCGCGAATGTTCCGTGGGTAACATTTCGATGTGGTGAAATTCGGCAACCGAATTTCACACATTCGAATGTTCCTTTAGTCCTCAAATGTTCCAAGTGCTGCCATGTGGCACCGATCTGCAGGTCTTCCGAAGTCAACCTGCAACTCCACGAAACCTGCAGTGAAGTCAACCGGAAGCAACACATTCGGTGGTTGGGGGCAAACTTTGCCTCACGCAACCTCCAACACCCCCCCTTGCACCCAAGTCACTAGGTGTTCAATCCAACACGCTCACAGCATGTACAAAATGAGTCCTTAGGGAGTGGTTTAGTGAGGAAGTCCGTGGGTTGAGCTTTGGTGCTCACATAAGTGAGTTTGACCTCACCCTTCTCAACCGCCTCACGAATGAAGTGATGCTTCACCTCAATATGCTTTGTTCGTCCGTGAAGGACAGCGTTGTGAGAGAGGCTTATGGCGGTCACAAAAGAGAGGAGTTGGGCTCGGTTGAGGATGCCCAAGCTCCGCTAGAAGACGCCGTAGCCATATTGCCTCCATGGCACCTTGTGTGAGTGCCATATACTCCGCTTCCGTTGAGCTTAGAGCCACGGTTGGTTGCTTCTTGCTTTGCCAACTCACGGCTGCCCCAAGAAAGGTAAAGACGTACCCGGAGGTACTCTTGCGCGTGCTTGGATCTCCCGCGTAGTCCGAGTCGGCATAGCATTTGAGTTCGATTGGGCCGGTTTCATACACGAGCCCCAAGTTAGGTGTGCCTTGGAGGTAGCGTAGAACGCGTCCTCCCACGCGCACATCCTCGGTATGAGGGTTGCTCACGACTCGTCCAAGCACCCCGGCGGCGTATGCGAGGTCGGGACGTGTAGAAACGGCGGTATACATGAGCGAGCCCACTAGCGAATGAAACCGCTTCCCTTCGGCTTCGTCGAGGGTGGATTCTTCCTCTCCCGTGAGGCAAGAAAATCCCGTAGCTAGTGGTGTTCCCACCAGTTTGATATTGCCCATGCCAAAGCTCTCCACTACCCCCTTCACATACTTCTCTTGGTGGAGGTGGATGGTCCCGTTGGCTCGGTCACGGTCGACGTGCATCCCAAGGTAGTACGTGGCCGGCCCCAAGTCCCTCATCGCAAACTCCGCCCCTAGCCGTTGCTTGACCTCCCGAATGAGGTCTTTGGAGTCGGAGAAGAGGAGTAAGTCATCGACGTAGAGTAAAAGCACCCATTGCTTCTCCCCCTCCTTCAACACGTACAAAGCACTATCGCACTCGCTATGAGCGAAGTCGTGTTGAAGAAGAAAGTCGTCGATGCGCTTGTACCATCCGCGTGGACTTTGCGTCAAGCTGTAGAGGGTACGCTTGAGCTTCCATACCCTTCCGCTACCATCATCGTACCCCGGGGGTTGCCGCATGTAGACCTCTTCCATGAGAAGCCCGTAGAGGAAGGCGGTGCAAACGTCCAATTGCTCCACTTCGAGGTTGAGAGATGCCGCTAGCGCGAGCAACAAAAGAAGAGTAGTAGCCTTAGCGATGGGAGTGAAGGTCTCACTATAGTGCTCCCCCTCCCGTTGAGTGTATCCTTGAGCTACAAGCCTCGCCTTGTAGCGTTCGACACTCCCATCGGCTCCCAACTTCTTCTTAAGCACCCATTTGCACCCCACCAAGTAGGCACCCTTCGGTGGGTCGACGAGCTCGAACACGTCGTTCTCTTTGATTGAGGCTAGTTCCTTCTCCATCGCTTGTTTCCATAGTGGCGCATCCGGAGAAGCCAAAGCCTCGGTATGGGTGCGAGGGTCATCACCCAAGGTTGCAAAGCAATATGCCGCACGCTCCTCGTCTAACTCCCCAACGGCTACTGTAGCGTAGTTGGTGTACTTCGTGTTGGGGCGACGTGTACGTTGCTTGTGTGTCAACGCCAATGGGAGGGAGGAAGGTGTTGAGGAAGTTGCCGCCGCGGTTGATGGCACTTCCACAACGTCATCATCGCTCTCCTCGTTCTCTTCCCCTCCAATCTCGCTTCCTTTTCCACTTGTGATGGAACCTCCATCGCTTCATCCTCCTCTCGTTCGGGAAGAACGACGGTGAGTTGCGGCGCTGGTTGTTCCTTCGTCGGGAACTTGTCTTCGTCGAAGACCACGTCCCGAGACGTGACGACGCGCCTTTCACCCAAGTCCCACACTCGCCACGCGCGCTCGTTCACCGCAATTCCCAAGCAGATTGCCGCACGAGCTTTCGGTTCGGCAAGTTCGCAGCAGGACCAACACCCTGTTAAAAAATTACCTTGTCCTCATCCAGTATGTCTCTACGCACAGGTTTTATGGGAAGCACTTTGATGGTTGAAGTCGATTTGAGCTTCGCTTGCTCTACGGTTGAATCAGGCGAAAGGTACACCACTTGGCCAAGTACAATACAACGGACCTGCTGGGTTTGAACCGCTGACTGACTTTCCTCCAGCGCTCTCCTGCTGTCATCGGGAATTTTGGGGGTCCCGAAATCGTTTGGGAACCCACTAGCTGGCGAGTGGTTTTCGCCTCCAGGCAATTGCCTGGTTTCAGTGAGTGGTTTGCTAGGCTAGTGGCATCTAGCCTGCGATTTGTTTTCGGCTGGACCTACGGCTGGCTGCCGAGCCTGCTCAAATGCTATGGAAATCATGCGCGATACAGTTGCGGACATTTGGGTTGTCTTTATTGGGCGCGATGTTTCTCTCGATTCGATGTCACGTCAGCAAAACCATCTCGATAAAAAATCTGTCGCAAATTATGTTTTAGTGACCTCAGTCAATTGAAGAAATTTCATAAGTTCACGGCCA